CTGGTGCGAGCGGACGGCGCCTGGCGGAGGTGTACGTGGGGGCGGGTGGGTGGCGGGGAGGGAATCTCCTGGCTGCGGGACCCCCGAGGGCTTGTCAGTGCCACACGTGGGCAAGTGTCCCCCTCTCGGTGCCTTTCTCCCCCACCCCGTCAGCCTGGTGATCGGTCCGCAGGTGATGAGACTCCACCACCATCGCTCCTCCTTAGGGATAGGGGATCCCCTAGGGGTCCCTCTCCCTTGCTCCCGAAGACCTGGAGCCGGCTCCCACACTGGTCCCCGAGCCTCCTTGCTGAGATGGGGTGACCTTTAGCGGGGTCTTTCCCATCTCCTCAGCTGCCCCCCCTGGGGCAATGATCTTGTGGGTAGATCGCAGCAGAGACCAAGGGTTTGTCCCTGGGTGGATCCCCCTCGCCCCTAATCCAGGAATTGAGGTGGAAGAAGTTCTCCCACTAGACCCGCCTTCCCGTCATGCAGGCTGGGGGGCAGATCCCAGGTTCCCCCTAGCCCGCACGTGGATCCCGTCCCATTGCGATCCCCAGGGATCTGCTCCCTGCCCTGCCGCAGGATCCAGCTGGGCGGGGGTGATCCTAGACAGTGCCACCCCCAGATTTGAGGTACACCCACATTGGGACGGCTTCGGGGGGGGCAGGAGCCACCTCCCCGTGGCTCCCGGCGGGATATGGGGAAGTGGGATCCGCATTCAGCTCCGTCACCGGGTGCCGGATGTGGAGACGAGCTGGAGGGGGTGGCGGGAGGAGTGGGTACCCCCAAACCCCGCCGTTCCCAGGGCACTCCAGCATTCCATTGCTGCGGGATGAAAGCGGCGCTTGGCGCTCCCCTTTAATGTGTTCTCCTTGATGTCCTTGTGGGATCTTGCCCGGGCGTCCCTGGCTCCGGCCGTGCCCTCATCTTATCCCAGAGCGTTTCACCCCACGGGATCACCTGCTTCCCAGCCCCCTTCCCGCGGGCTCTGTGTTCCCGGGACGGCAGTGCTGGAGAATGGCGGGTGGCGACAGGAGGTGACAGGGTGACGCGGGCTGGCGGGACGCGCTGGCTGATGCAATCCCACGGCGCCGGTGCCTTGGAGCCCGTTGTGCCGTGCTGTGTCCTGTTGGGTGTTCCCTGGCTCTGGATTCCCTGGGGATTGATCCCTCCCGCTGATGGGGTGACACCTTCTGAGCGCAGGGTGTCCCCAGTTTGAGCTGTCCTGGGTCCTGGGCTCTGCCCTTCCCAGCCCTGGGGTCACAAAGGGGGAGAATCCATGCTCCCCTCATTCAGCACCCCCTGAATCTCATCACTGTGGTGTCTGATCCCAGGATCTGCTCAATCCTTAGCAATCCCATCCCGCTGAGGGAGGGGGTCTCATCACAATGTGGGGTCCCAGCACAATGTGGGGGTCCCATACTAACAGGGGGTTCCAGCATGAGGGGGCTCCGAGCCAGTGGAGGGGGTGGTCTCATTTTGGCATGGAGGTCCCAGTGCCCAGTGCAGCGTTGGGGGGGTTCTCATCCTGGTGTGAGGGTCCTAGCCCAGCACTGCGGGGCGGGGTGGGGGGACAGGGGTCCCAGTGCAGTATGGAGATCCTGTGCTGATGGAGGGGGTCCCATCCTGGTGAAGGGATTCCCATCTTGGCAGGGTGGGGTTCCCAGTCCAGCATGGAGGTTGCCCAATGTGGGTGATCCTGGCATGGGGTGGGAATCATATTCCAGTGCATGGTTCCCAGCCTAGCCTGGGACTTTCAGCCCAGTGTGGGGATTCCATCCCCTCATGGGGGTCCCAATGTGGAGGTCCTGTTCCAATGTGGGGGTTCTAGCCCAGCATGGGGAATCCCAATGGAGGGTTATCATCTTAGAGTTGGAATGTCCCATCCCAGCATGGTCCCAGCATGTCATGGGGGTTTCCAGGCTGGTATGGGGATCCCAGTGCAATGTCACTCCAGGTGTTTTCTAATGACATCCCTACTCCCTGCAGCTCTGCTCCACATGATCAACCTCTGTTCTCCCAAAAACCCCAGGGCTGGTGCCTGTGGGTATTCCTAGAGCTGCCACTCCTGCTGCTGCTCTCGTGGGGGCTCCATATCACCTTTCTGCACCAGATGAGGGCCCCAGCCCTTCTCCCACTCCAGGTGACAGCCCCTGCCTTCCTTTCCAGGCAGGTTTCGTGCCGACAACCTGAACAAGCTGAAGAACCTATGTAGCAAAACCATTGGGGACAAGATGAAGGTGGGGCATAAGTGTCCTGGGTCACCTCATGGTGTGACATCACCAGCTGGTGACATCTCTCCTTCTCCCAGCCCTCCAGCTCTCCCTTGTGTCACTGAGGGAAGTTTTCCCCCTGGAATTTTACTCTTTAACTCTCCTGGGTTCCTTTCTCCTCCCGCTGCAGAAAAAGGAGCCAGTAGGGACGGATGAATCAGTACCAGAGAGTGCACAGAACCTAGATGAACTCACGGCTGATGTCCTGGGGGTGAGTGAGACCCCAACTCCCTCCACTGTGCCTACAGTTTGTCCAGAGCTTTGCCTGGAATTGCCCAAACTGGTAGCCTGAAATGTCCACCAAATGAAGGGGGACTGTCTGATACCTCAGCTGGGAGGATCCTTTATCCCCCAGTCCTACACCAACAATAACCGACTCTTCCTTGATGTCCGTGATCTCCCAAATATCTCCCTGTGTCAGTCAAGGGCTCATCCCCGGGAATTTGAGCAGCCTCAGTCTTTCTGTGTCCTTTGTGTATCCCTCCTTGCCTGCTTCCATCCCAGTTTGGTAATCACCCTGGTTAATGAGTGCAGTGCTGGCTGCCGTGGGAGCAGCTCAGACCTTCGAGAGTCCAGCTTGTCACCCCTTTGTCCCTTCAGGCCATTCTTCAGTGTGTCCAGCACAGGGACTCACTCCAGAATCCGTGGAAGGTCTGGAGTTCACCATGCTGGGCCCAGAATTACTTGTGCTGGG